GTCCCTGTGCTTTGCTTAGCTTAGCTTGTTCTAGGTAGGTGCTTTAGACCACTGAGCCATCTCACCAGCCCCTGCAGATAATAATTCTTAAGATGTACACTCATGGTAGAGTTTGTTGGTGATAAGCATCATATGTGATAGGTAGAAGAAATGGAGAGGGGCAATTTCCAAAAGACACACACATTGCGAGCTTCCAGCAGGGCTGTATCCTGTATCATTCATTATACATAAATAGCTTGAAAGCTATCACTACTGCATGTTAATATTGCCTATGCTGCCCTATTTTATTCAATCCATTCTTCACAAGTCTTGGTTAGAAGAAGTCACATATTGGTGGTAGAAAGAACTCAACCAACTTTCTGTCTCCATGTCCAGCAGAATAGTTTAAGTTATTGAAAAACACCTTTACTTTGGCATTTTAAATTCAACTTGAGGATCATATGGTGTCTTTGTTAATTTCCAGGAAACACACCATGTGCAGCCTGTTGTCAAAACCTTTACTTCATATTTTGCTAAAAATATATCAGAACTTGTTCAAATATAAATAATGTAAAAATGTGGTCAATTTTATTTGTCAGCATTTTGTACATAAGAAAATTATTTTCCAGTTGATGACATGGCAATTTATTTTACTTTACATTTTTGCTTCTTATTTTTAATCACAATTCCAAACTTTTGAATCCATAAGAATTTTCCACAGTAATTTCCTAAAATAAAATATAACAATGGGTTTTCTGGATTTCTTTGTTGTAATATATTTTCTAGCATTCTAAGAGGAAATACATTGGTGAAAAACTCGAACTTAGACCATTCTGTGCCAACAATGGTTGCCTCAAAATAACCAGTCATTCATGGAGGTTTGATTTTTTTTACTCAACTTTTGTAGTATTTGCATATGCAAACTAGGCTTATTTTTTTAACTCCTGCTAAACTAAAGCTATTAAAAATATGACATGGACTTTGTCCTTTTTAGCCATGAACAAAGTAGCAAAGCTGTGCAATTACTTAACATAATACAAATTTTTGTTTTTTGCACCAACCAAAATTCAATGTTAATTCCCTTTACAAAACTATTTACTGTAGTGTATTGATCTGCATGCAGGGAATTGCTATTAGTAAAAGGAATGGTGAGCTACTTCATTATTGAGCCAAAAGAATAAATATTTCATTTTTATTGTATTTCATTTTCTGGCCTCTGACTTTTTATTGTTGGTAATGACAATAAGTAATGAAATAAGTAATAAATATAAGTAATGAAACATGTACTTGATCTTATGTTTGTATACATAAAAGTTCACATGAATTTTATAACCTAGTACATGGTCTACCAAGAAGCTCCTTAGAACAAAGGCTAATTAAAAGAAGTATTTGTGAACTTTCATGTGTGCGAAAGATCAAGCCCATATGCTCCATCTTTTATGTTTTATGATAACAGTAGTAGCCACCTACAATGGCTGCCAATTCTAATTAATTCTTTGGCTATAAGGATTCTAATTTTAACTCCTCTCAGTTAATCAATGTCATCTCTCAATTTCCTGCTCACTAACAAAGACTACATTTTTATTTAAATGCATTGTATGAACTCCTGTTTACACATAAAGAATTGATGAAACAAGGATTGAGAATATATGCTGTTTTGGTTTTATGCCTGGTCAAAATCAAATTTTATTGTCAACAGAAAACTCAAGTCATAATGCATATTTTTAAGATTACTTGGATCTAAATATATATTTCATAATTTCACCAAAATACATAACATAAGGTAACTAATTAAAATTAATTGGTTTCTTTATATTCAAGTCAATTTATAGGTTTCACTGACAACACAGAAAAACCAATAATGCTATGGAAAAACATTTAGCCTTTTTATGCACGCCATTATGTAATCATTAATCAAGCAATCTATTAGTATGCATTATATCTAAACCATCATCTTTTAAAATAGAATAGACTTCAGTAGAAAATATAGAATATTTTTAGGTATACTACTCCAGCTAAAGATTATCATTCAGAATATAGTTACTGATATAATTTGATAGATTTTTAAAATAACTTCCATGAGAAAAAAGCTATCTATTAATAGACTTCATGGTAGAATTCTCATTTGAAAATCAAATAGTAGAATTAAGTTTGCCATAGAAATGACAGTACTATGAAATTAAGGAATCTTGATTTCACCAATAAATGGAATTTAAGTGACTGTTCTTTAGTTTTAAAAAACTGTACAAAAGGAAAACTGGATATTGTTGGGTTCAAATGTTGTAGCCAAAAGACAATCGCTATATAAATGTATGCATCTTACTCATTTTCAAGTAGCTAGCGTTCAGTAAAATAACATGAGAACCATTTTGTGCATTTAAAACCAGTCAGTAGCAATTACACAGAAATGATGGATGTTCACCAATTTTATGGAAATGTAAGAAGAACTGGGTCAAGAGTCCTGAAACTCAGTTTTTAGTTTCATCTTTTTCTCATTAAATTATCTTTGTAATTTAGGCAAATAAAATTATTGTCCTTCTTGAAGTCCTCCTCCATTATTGGGAATGCTGTCTGTTGTGCGTCTAGTATATGCTCAAAATCAAATTGCCTATTCGAAGTGAGCAATTTCCACTATAAAGGTAATATTTAATGAGAAAAATGTATACCATCAGTATGTTTTAAAGTATCACTCAGAAAATATTTAACAGACAGACATAACTTTTGGTCTGGCTTTAACACCATTAAGGGAAATTTTCTTATCCTCAAATATTTTGTACCACAGAGTTAAAGCATACTTCAAATGATTGAAAAGACGGCTATTATTACCCATGTTATAGATTTATAAAAGGTAACACCTGATATATAATAAAATGTATCAAACCCAAAATGTCACTAATCATTTGCAAAATTGTATCAAATGACATGCATACCTACTTGTCGGTAATAACGTTGGTCATAATCATCCAGGAAGTTGGGGTTGAGTCATAGTCCCAGAGTACCATTTTTATAAATGAACAAATCACATATAATCCTCTTATAGTAACATCTATAATATATAATTCGGTTACAGAAAACAATAATTATTATTTCTGTGCATCCAAACTTAGGTAATTACTAACTCTAGTGGGTCTTTTTTCTGCATTATTATCCTTCTCATCTCTGCTCGCCAGAATCTTACCAACCTCCCTAATTCTGCCTGTCAACATACTGAAGCACAGATGTAAAACCCTCTAAGCCTGACAGCACCACTGAACAAAGAATCAATCCTCCCTTCTCATTATGAAATAAATAATATCCTTCACAATCTGCCCTTCGTGTCTTGCACTATCATCCGTCATTCAACACCACTTCGTAGCTCACCACATCGCTGCCCCAGATCATGTGATCTCTAATAACGTCTTTTGGATGTCTCTTCTGCCTCCATAGGTGTTCCTCGCCTCATCTGGAAAACCTCTGTCCCCTGTCCTCCCTCTTCTCTCCCTCTCTCCCCTCTTTTCTTACCTCCATTCATCTCTCTTGCCCGAGTGCATAGTAAACAGTTGCCATCCCACAATCAGTTCAAATGTCACCATCTTTCAGGAAGCCCCATCAGACCCCTTCAGGTAGAGGGCACCACTTGCGCTCAGCATGCCTACCATGCATGGGTGCTGGTGTTTGTCACACTATGTCATATTTATCATTCTGTGCACCTTTCTGTTCTAAGGCACCATGTTATATGGCAAATACAGGATATATCCCATCGACTACTCTCGCCCCTCTTTCCATCATCAACAATGAGTAGTGGAGTACGGGAACGTCAATGTCTTGATGTGGAGTTTGTATAGTTGCTTCTGGCATAAACACAGGAAGGTATTTCAATACCAAACAAAAGTGCTGATAAGTTGTTTCAGCCTTTACAGAGAATGACTCTCAAATTTATTTTCAGACCTAATCAGATGTTCCATTTTTGTAATCAGTTGAAAGATATATAAATGTGTTGAGAATACTCTGTACTTTGGAGCTGTTTTAAGTCATACCTATAAGCCCACAGAAATTACTGGGGAAAAAAGCAACCTTACTTACATTAATTCTACAAGTAAAAGAGTAGTTTTATTTACTTGCCCTTGGTTTGAAATATATCTCATGAATATAAATCAAGTTTCATTT